ACCGACTGCCGATATGAAGATGCACTTTTTGCATAAGTTCCCCGCAGATTTTTGTCGCTAAGCAGATACTTCTAGCTAAAAGAACCGCCAGGACTATCAGGAAACATCCCCTTGAAATTCCACTCTTCTAGCTTTTCAGGTGCCCGACTTACCCGGAAGAAACTATGGTGGGCTCGTACGTGGGTACCACGCATAACAGAGGGCTGAGGGCTGGGTTTGAACTCATTAATACCTACCTGAGCGGGAAATATCCCCTCAAAATTCCAGCCCTCTAGCTTTTCAAGTACCCAAGTTGATAAATGACCCGATAAAAACTTTGGCAGGCCTGTATGTGAGCACCACGTGGGTAAAAGCGCCCGTTTTGGAGATGGGGCCCGTACACGCATGTAGATTAAGTTCCCCGAGCTTTCGCCCTGTAGCTTTTGTAAGTCTCGAGATGAAAAATCGGTATAGACGAACACACCGACACACACACACAGACAACCCCTCGTCAATATACGTTTTGTGCATTGCATAGACGCAAAAAACGCATAAAAAACGAATACCTTTATGCCATTGAAATTATCAACGGCTAATATGGTGGAACGTTGGTCCTCGTAACATAGAAAGGCGAAGCCCCGCGATTTTCCTGTTTTATGATCTCGAATCAAATTTATATTCACTATTTCACCATATCTGAAATGAAAAAAAAAAAAAAAAAACGAACACTTATGAACCCACAGGCACAGAGATTTTTTAAAGGGGCAGCTTAACAAAAATGGAAAAAAGTTTTGGAAAAATGGAAAATGGAAAAATGGAAAAAAAAAAACCGGAAAAATTTTGACAAATACTTTGGTAGGATTTTACAAAAGTTTTAGCGGTTTTTTCTGGAATTAAAATTTTCAGCTAGGGAGCCTTCTTCAATATCAATACATAACGGTAAGGCAAGACGAAAGAGAAGGCAGAAGGAGCGAATTCTCAAGGAAATGGTCAAAATCTATCTTTCCTGGTTGGCCACAAAACCTGCGTACACAGTGATACTAAGCTATAAGATGATTAAAGCCGTACTGTTTTTCGCCTTGAGTTCATCATAAATTATTTAAAAACAGAAATATTTGCAGTTATTTTCTTCAAGGATTGCTCGGAGAAAAAAACTGCAGTCTTCATAGTTTATGTATACAAACATAATTTTTCCATATTTCTCGCTGAAATCTTAAAAAAAAAACGCTGAGGCATAAAAATTAACGAAGGACATAAAATGTTTCCAACACCGTATTGAACAGGAACTAAAAGTAATAAAAAGGCGATAAACGTAGCAAAATTCTGTTTCATAAAATCTAAAAAGCAAAATTTTGCAAAAATTTCGGAGTCGATAAAAATTTAAAATTCTATCAAAAAATGCAACATAACTGATAGTAAGGAAAAACGATAAAATCGGTGAAAAACGATAAAATCGGGAAAAATCTCGAGGGCATAACTTTCATCATTTTGAAATCAATAAAATTTTTAAAAAAATATAAAAAAAAAGAAATTTGGCAAAATCATTCTAGGAAAAAGGAGAGGCATTAGAGAGGAGATTTATGAATGAAAGCGTATGCTTGGTGAAAACGTAGCAGAGGAAAAAACGAGGTCGGATAATTGGGGATTAGCAGGCACGGAACAGTCTAATAAAAACCTAGTTGTGCGAAACAACTGCTGCCCACTGGAAAGTGGAAAAATGTTGGACGAGTGGAGGAACGGGAAACAAAAACAGGGCATTACGATTGCAACGAACACTATCAATCTAGCATCGGTGCATTCCAAACAAACATCTCTCAGTTAAAATAATTTTTTAAATTACCGATAGGGGGGGGCTGAATTTAGGCACAAAAAACGAATTTTTTAAAATTTCGGGCCTAAATGGGTGCCCAAGAGGTCAGACGGCACACGATCCCCGTGTGGACGCCCAGGCCCCGAGCCTTTCCTGTCTCACCTAGCACGGCTCCGCCACTCACGGATGCCTGGCGTACCCCAAGCCCACGGGGGATACCTGGCTTTTCCTGTTAAAACCATAGACAAACGTCTGAAGCCTTCAATTAACACTTTATCGATTAATGACCGAAAAAGAAAACAGAAAAGAAAAAAAAAACCCAGAAAAGGATGATAGTAGCCATGGTCGTGGCGC